GAGAGACAGAGACACACAGAGATAGAGAGAGACACACAGAAAGAGACAGTGGTAGAGAGGGACAGAGACAAACAGACGGACACAGAGACAGTGAGACACAATCAGAGACAGTGAGAATATAAACGTGTATTTCATGAGTAAAATTTTATGAACATATTTACCAAGTTGCTGTCAAGCCTGGTTGGAAATGAAGGCTTGTAATTGTTAAAGAGACTGATGCCACTAAAAAGAAACAGGCTATTATGCACTTGGAAAACAGTAAAGGTGTCCTGAAGTCAACTCATCAGGGGTTTCAAGTTGTAAAATTGCAAGTTCAATAGAAAAGAGAGAATGAATTGGGTATTGTGCTAGAGGGTTTCCTTGATCAAAACACCCACTGCAGGGAGCTCAGTTGCCAAAATACACAGCTACAGCTATAGCTGTGGCAGATGGCATTCAGAATGGATCTGTAGCTTGTAGCAGCCAGTGCTCTCTATGTACTGCTGGTTTTCCAGACATGCATAATGAAAGAGAGAGTAAGTATATCATGGAGGTTAGAACCAAGGTCCTAGAAAATTACTGAGACAAACTGTGGCAGGCAGAGTTAGGTTTTGTGGGGTAAATCTTGGGCTGTGAGTAGAATTCCATTGTAGTAAGCTGTAGAGGGGAAAATCAAAGCAATAGAGAGATGGAATGTTGTTTATGCCAGAGACATTAATGATGTGGAAAGTTGAAGCAAAAAAAAATAGAGCAGGTAAGAAAGGAGCAGCTATGTTTGCAGCTTGTAGAGGAGTTAGATGTGTGAGGCATCCCAAGCGTGATGGTTACTAAGGATGTCTGTAGGAGTTCTAGATGATGGCTTTGGAGCTTAAGAATTTGGTGGTTGCCTTTCTCTGCTTGATCTTGCTTAAAGTTGATCTTTTATTATTATATGCCACAAAGTCCTTCTCTTTGTTTTTTTTAAAAGATAAAACCAAATATTTATTTACACCAAAGAATTCCAATACTGGATCTTTCACATATGAAGGACAAAGTAATATATATATATATATATACATATATATATATATGTATATATATATATAGCAAACTTCCATGATATACTTACTCTCTCTTTCGTTTTGATACACACACACACATACACACAAACACAAAGCAAGGGATGGCAGGGCCATAATAATAGAACTGATAGTTTCCCACAGTTACAGGTCTACCATTTCTAGTTCACTGGAGATAGTGGCTCTATTCCTGCCTCTGAAATACACTTACAGTTCTGACAGCGGGGCTCCTCACTAGATGTCATGTGAAGAAAGGGCAAGGCAGGAAGGGAAAAAGTACAAAGCTTAAAATGAACCCAGTGTGGCCACATCACCCGTTACTTCATAAGAGTGCTAGCATGAAACTTACATTGACAATATTTTGAATTCTTTCTTATAATAGAAACACTTACTATTCTTTTATTTTTAATTTTTAATTTTTATTTTTTTACTCCAGATTTTATTCCCCTCCTAGTCAACCCTCCAACTGTTCCACATCCCATATCTCCTCCCTGCTCACTTTCTCCTTTATAATTATGCAGAAGTACATTTTTTATTCATTAAAGCATGAATGCAATTTATTGTTTACTCTTGTTTCCTTATAACATAATAGATAATTTCATTTTTTCCATACTATGTGTTTAAAAATTCCAATGGCCAAAGAGAAACGTGTTACTACTAAAACACACACACACACACACACACACGCAGAGAGAGAGAGAGAGAGAGAGAGAGAGAGAGAGAGAGAGAGAGAGAGATTCCTATGTATTGTATCTTTCAATTAAAAAACCTATGGCAAATAGAAAAGGGTAGAATAGAAAGTTTAACATCCAGGAGGAGACTAAATTCTGTGATCGAGCCAGGTAAGAGATTTGCCTAGGAAAATGTGAAAAGACAAACACATAATATATTAGCTCGGGTAATTAGTCCCATAGATGAATGTAGATTTAAAAAAATGGGATAAATTGAAGCCGTGCTCTAATAAGATAAAGCCTAGCTATACAGCCAAGGTATTTATAATTATATTTTGAGTCTAAGTCTTATTTCTGAGAACATGGTGTTGGGAGGAAGAACGCGTGACCGTGTATAACTTCTACAGAGAGAAACAGAGATATTGAGACACAGACAAACAAACAGACAAAATGAGGGGAGGAGACTTCATTGTATCATTGAAAGGTTTTGTTTGTTTGTTTTTGTTTTGTTTTTGTTTTTACAATAAACAGGACACAGGTCAAATATTGCTTAACTCACTATTAACTGGACACGGTATTCTAATGGATAAAATATTCAATATCCGAAAACCAGTAAAGGAGGTATATAGTAATGAAGTTTTAACTTCATGATAATAATTTGCTAATTATTATTTACACAGATAAGCTCATGGTTAAGATTGCTTTGTGTCTTAAAAGGGACTTTAAACAATGTTAGTTTCATGAACATATTGAGGATTTTACAAAGGAACTACATTTGTTTTCTATTAAAGAAGTTTATAAGTTGCTGAAGATCAAGTGGAAAAATTATAGTTTCAAAATTATGTTTTTAAATGTCACTGTGACAAGGAATGGATATTATGTGTGTTTATCAGGGTATTTGTGTACAGCTGCGCTCATTCATGTGTGCATGGTGTATTTGTATATGTTTAGACCAGAGGTTTGCATCAGGTATCTTCCTCTATTGATCTTTAAATTTCTTTTTCTTTTTGTTTTAAGAAAGATTCTTTCATATAAATTTGAACTCATTAATTAACTATGCTGGGTAGCTACTGAGTTCTAGAGGTTTGCTTGACTCTGTTTACCCTTCCATGCTGTATGTGGGGTTACAGTTGTTGTGCTTCCACACCTGGCCTGATAATTTTTTTTTACATGAGGGCTGCTTGTCCAATCTTGGATTATTGTACTTGTATAACAAGCACTTAACTTACTGAGCCAGGGGTTGACATTAGATAATTAATCTTCTTTGAGTGTTAACTTGACTGTCATTGGAATCATTCAGAAGACAATCCTCTGGGAATGTCTTTGAATGAATTGCCATGTAGGAAAGCAGTCCCATCATGAATGTGCGTGATTCTTTTACAAGGTCTACATCCCCAGATAAGAAAATCATAGAGCTCTTTCTGTCTTTCTGATTGCAGTCCCATGTAAACCTCATGTTCCTGTACCATGACTTCATGATAGGATACACTACACTCTTCAAAAATGAACCAAAAGAAATCTTAAGTCACTTTTTGTCGAGCACTTTGACACAACATTGAGAAATTTAATGAATACAAGTGACATCTCTAATTTGCTCAACATCTACTGTGAATCACTCTGGTGAACCATTACAATTTGGTTTGTTCTCAAGGCCATAGACCTACCTCAAACTAGTTCTAGATCTATAAAACTCTGAGCCTTGCTACCACTTTGCTATCATATAAAGTGATGATGAGCAAGGAGATAGCTCCAATTAGCACACACTAAAAGCTCTGGTTTGCAAAGACTTGCCTTGAGCAATGCAATATAGTCAGCTGCTTGCCCAGTGACAAACAAGGGAGGTTTTTTACTGGCTTGCACATAGTATGAACATTTTGTATGACCTCCCAGAGTCAGTCCATGAAGTGTTCCAAGCTTTGCATTTATTCCAAAGTCATGGCCACTTCCCAACTCAATATTGCATTACTATTCTTTTAAAAGAAAATATCTGCTCATTCCTTTCTTACTTCCCAAGTTTACTTGTTCTTGCCCTCCTGAGCATAACTCTTCACTGAGATAAATTTAGAAGACGTTCTGTTAGTCTGTTCACTAGAAAAATAGATGATCATACACCAACGTTACAAAACTATAAGAAAATACTTTATTTTCTCATGACATCAAATCAGAGAATTGTCTTTATGAAAATTGGATCCAGTTTTGTGATTATTAATAAATATTGATTAGTGAATGTTAACCTCCTATGAATTCCACCAGTATTTCTACAAAAGTAGATTTATGGACTTATAGAAAACACAGAATTCTCCCTCTTCATTCCTTTTTGTTTGTTTGTTTTTGTTTTGTTTTGTTTTGTTTTGTTTTGTTTTGTTTTTTGAGACAAGGTTTCTCTGTGTAGTCCTGGCTGTCCTGGAACTCACTCTGTAGACCAGGCTAGCCTCGAACTCTCGAAGTCAGAAATCTGCCTGCCTCTGCCTCCCAAGTGCTGGGATTAAAGGCGTGCGCCACCCCCCCCCCCAGCTTCATTCCTTCTTTTTATAAATTTCCACTTTATCTTGACATTTGTGATGAGGAGGGGGCCCACAAAGAAAAACATATATCACCATTTCATTAGAATAGTCGTGTCTCAAGAGCTTAACAGAGGACAAACTTGGCCAACAAGCACAGGAAGCTATGTTTAGCCTCAGTGTGATTTGGATGAGAAAGGCCCCCATAAGCTCAAGTTTGAATACTTGATTCCTAGTTAGTGGCACCATTTGGGGAGATTTAGGGGCCTTATGGGAGGAAGTATTTCACTGCAGGCTTGGAGGTTTCAAAAATCCACACAGTTTCCAATGTGTCTCTCCCTTCCTTATGCCTCTGTATCAGGATAAAGCCCTCAGCTATAGCTACAACATGCTTGTCTGCCTGTTGCACGATGATCATGGACTCTATGTAACCCTTTGAAATTGTAAGCAAACTTCCAATAAAGTCTTTCTTCTATATGAAAAAAAAAGTTGTTAACTAAAAAGTTAAAAGTTATTAGGCATTAAGAGTTTCTGAGTCAGCAATTCTGAGAAGTAACATAGGTAAAAGTTCTATGATACACTTATTGAGATGATGGTACAGAGAGAAATGGGTAGTGAAAGCATTACAGGGCACATAAAGTTAAAAATATAAAGGTTATTCTTGTTCAGGCCAATAAATGTCAGCTGCCAGGAAAAAAAAAGTCGATGTTCCTTTGAAGTGAGAGTATATTTTATTCCTAAAGCATTTAATTCATCAAAAGCTTGCCAGACTGCGCTGTGTGAACACTGACCTGTGAAGAGGTACCAGAGGTTATTTGGTTCCAGTGTTTCCATCTCACCCCTGCGGGTAGTCTTTCTGTGTCGAATTTTATAGCCAGTAATAAATCCATTTTGTGTTCCCGATGGAGGAGGGAGCCAGCTTACTTTGATACTCTGTAAAATAAAAATAAAATAAATGTAAATGAAGACATTGAAGAGAGAAAGATAACTGAGCAGGGTCAAAGCTGTAACCCAAGCACAGGTGTGAATAAATCAGAGAAGCGAGAATGATCAGGCGTGGCTCCAAGTGAAGTCCTTTCCTACAGTCTAACAGCAACATACTCATTTTATTTTAGTACAGATGTATACAAGTTATTTGACTGACTATGTGCAATATCATGTCTCTGAAGCAACCATCATTAAAATGATAAGAAAGGATTCTAAACAGTAAAATCCACTGAAAGGCAGGAACAGGAGATATCAGATGAGTGATACCAACAGGTTGGTGTATTCTTAAGGGAAAGGAGAAAGCTAAGCCTAAGAACTTTAAAATAAAACATAAATTAATGAAAAACTAAGCTAATTTCCATTTTAAGATCACCCGATTCTTGGACCTTTTTGCTTCCTATCCAACTTAATCATGGTACTGAGGCATGCTGCTGGAGAGAGATGACTTGGAAAGCTTCAATCGGATTTAAACTGTAGCTTCTTACATTCAGCAATCTAGTCCACTAACCCTCACTGCCTGGAGTAGCGGGGAGCTCAATGCTAGGAGTTGTTGAACACAAAGGCCACAGATTCAGATAAGAGGCACACCAGTGAGCAGGGATGTAGGAAGGGGTTATCAGGTCAGAGATGTGAGCCATCCATATTTTTTTTCTCTCATCCAGTACACAAGGGAACTTAAGTTAGCTAGGGGCAATATCAAATAACCCTTCGTGACAGAAAATTAAGAACTTTGAACTAGACAAAAAGAACCCAGCCTGAGTCCCCAACAGTGAATCCATAACTTAACCAAAGTCCCACCAGGACCCAGTGTTTGCCCTTTGCAAGTCTGAGTTTTAGAACTTCACTTTTATATATAATGGTAATTTTATATGATCAGATACCATCAGAGCCTGTGACACACACTGAGACAAAATGAAGGCAGAAGTGCACAATAAGATGTCCTGAGAGAAATAATAATAACACATACAAAAGAGCCCTGAAAAATACAATAATTGTACACCAGAAATCTAGGGTAAATTGCTCAACCCTTGTTATAATGAAAACACATGAAGATTTAGATAGTAAATAAGCCTAAAAAATATGCAAGTAAAAATGAAACATCTATAGATACATTGGAAGATAAATGGAAATATGTATTTAAAAATTAAGAAGGGAAAAAAGACTGTAGTAAATTGTACAGAAAGGGTAAGACACTAAAATCTAGTCCATAACTTCTAACATACAAATGGTAAATTGAGAGAATGGAAAGGCAGCAAATATGAGATAGAAAATTAGAGAGAGAAAACACAGAATACAAAAGAAGATGTACATCTTCTACAAGGATGGTAAAAAGTTACTTAACCTGCCAATAAAAGCCGAACCTATACGTGGTAGAAGAATTTGGGACTAGCTTAAAGGAGATCACAAAGTATTTAACAGAACAAATGTAAAAGAATCACATTAATATAGTAGCTATATCTTTGTGAGAGGTATCTGGGTACAAAATTTTTAAAAATCAACAGTATAGAACATAAAGAATCAAACAGTGAAGATATTCCTTAAAATTCTGATCATTGAAATTAAAGACCCGCAGAATTAAGAAAGACAAGAAATGGCAAGTTATAAGTAATTCTGATGGTTTTAAGCACAGATTATGAGTGTGTATGGCTTTGAGTTAACCATGAATTAAAACAAAAAGTAAACAGGCAGTTAAACCTCTCAAAATATTAAAGTTGTCATCTTTGAGCAAGATAAGATGGGAGGGGTTGCCAGTGTAACGGGTTCAGGGACCAATCCTTTATGGCTTACCTTACTGAGTAATTTTTCTACTTCTACTCCTCTCTCTTTGCCTTCTGAATAATATAGGAAGCAGCATTCTCTGGTTTTGTTCTGTATCTAATGGTCTGAACAAATCCTATAGCAGATGGACCATAGGAAGTAGGACACTAGAGTTAGTGTCCAGGCAGACTGCCCAGTCAATGTCTTTCATCCTACAGGGTTCTCAAAAAGACCATTTACTGAAACCACCTAAGGGCCCTAGTAGATTCAACCTTGTGAAGGGAGCCTGTAAGTTTTAACTACCTGCCTGACTCAATTCAGAGTATCACGGTTCTTATAAATATCATTTGCTTACACTTTTATAAGTTTGTGTGTCTTCAAAAAGGAAAATACTAATTTGATATAGTTTGATATGCTAAGTTACCACATTCAAAAAGAGTATATACTGAATAATTGGATTTTGACTAAATCCAAATATAGGAAAAACTTAGGTTATAAAAATAAAATACAGGACAATTGCAGAGGCACTGACACTTTGGGCTTGATTACACACGAGTAAAATTTAACTTTCGCTGTTGATGTAAATTTCCTCAACTCCAATTTCATGCTTGTTACAAGAATGAAAGCCAAAATCAGATCTTTTCATGGCTTATTGAGCTTCGCTATTCTCTTGTTGGTGTTATTTAACTTTTCAAAGATGATGAACATGGAGTATTTTGACAAAATTTATATTTATTTACAAAATTAATCATTAAAAATTGTTCTTTGGGAGTAGCAGAATAAATGATCAGCTTTCAGAAAAAAGCCAGAACATACATCAAGGGATAGACTCCTGAGTCTGGATGACAAGATTTTTTTTACCTTCTTTGGTCTTGGGAAAGGATGGCTAATGCAGGACCTTGCTCTCTAAGGAAGGAGTTATCCATGATCATTATGTCACTTACTAAATAGCTGCTGCTTTAAAATAATTGAATATTTCATACAAGCAGATAAAGTCATGGAAGATAAAGTTCTTTACTAAGTATCCTAACATTAATAAAATGTGGCAAACAGTAGATTTTCAATATTTACCACATTTATTTTCTATTAAAACCTCATGAAATCCCAATTCTCAATACTGAAACATTGCTGCTACAGAAAATAGTAATTTGGATTTCTTCCAGGGTCTTATTACAAAATGCATGTCAATTTGTCTATAACATGGGCTTCTTGTGGTTTTCTTTTAAAATACTTTATTTAATATTACTGGCTAAAATTGATTTTTAATATCCAACCCAGCTTACTTAATTCCTGTTCTCCATAAGACACATCACTATCTTCTTGTATTTAGTAACATCAAAAAAACAGATGCCAGCACTACATTTAAGGGACACTAAAACCTATAAAGTTACTAATAAAAACAGATAATGAAAATAAAATGCCAATTAAAAAATGCACTCATTTCCAATGTGAGGTTTGAAAGAAGAAAGCAGGATAAAGGCCAACAAAATTTCCACTGTCCTGCCTAAGACCACAGAAGAATCATGAATATTAAAATTGTGGTACTTTAGTGATTATTCATTTCATAGACACAGGCTTTACAATGGCAAGGATCGATCACAGTCTCACAAATCCATAATTTACAGTTGGAGTATGTAAAACAATCACACAAATTTTGAATATAATATTCTACATTATATAAACTATTCCTTATATCACTTGATTAACTTATGTAACGTGTTAGATTAACTTTAGGAGAACATGGAATTACTGGAATTATTGCCTTCCACAAATACTCTAATATGACAGTAGATCCCTTTACTTTTAGTGTTTATTACCTCCATATTTAATCCACCATAGACAGGATAATGGTACATGCTCTACATGAAAGATGAATTTATAGTCTTGATAATTTTGTGAGTTGCAATGCATTATTTTGTCTTTTGGTCTGTTGTATAGACTACAATGTAATGTGGTGAAGTAACTTAAAATCATGTGTCCCACAATTGATAAGAGAGTATTGAAGATGAAAATACCGTGATTCTAAAGCTGGAGTTTCATTGCAGTTTAATAGTGCCTCTCAAAGAAAGCTTACATCATTATGAATCTTATTCATTTAGTCATTACTCATTCACAACATATACACTGGACTAAGCAAAACTCAAGTCATAGCTCACCAGGTTAAACAGAAGAAAGACACATAAACTATGAAAGGCAGAGTGCCAAGAGCTAAAGAAGATTGTCTTAAAGGCACAAGATGCAAAGATTAATTATGTCTTATATGACCAAGTACACTTTACTAAAAAGTTCACCATTCAAATTTGACCAGAACTTTATGGAGAGGGTGGAAAGACATTTAAAGATAGGAAATAATAATAAGGTCAACCATAGGAAAGTAATAATGAAATCAAAATGTTATAACATCCTAAAGCAACATCAGGTCATGGAATATCTGATAGCTAGAGAACATGGGATTTATTGGATGGCAAAATATGAAAAATATGCTCTTCTAAGACACTAAGAAAGTCTCAGATAATGGTAGATACATGAAATTGGATCAGCATGCACACTGAGAAGGTGTCAATGCCTACTTTCCCGGCCATATTCTTGTCTCCAAATCCCTAACCCCTACACAGCTACACATTCTTGTAAATATGAATATGTTCTTTGCTTAAAGTGTTTTAGAAACTAACAAGAAAAACTAGAATTTTAAAAACCCCACAAATTCATATTTATGGTCACCTAAAAGTTTTGGCTTTCACCGTTTCCGACCCTTCTAACAATTAACAATTACCCAGTGGAGTCTACTGAGTTATAGACTTCAATTAATGTTTACCCTGAGGCTACTATGTGGCAATACTGGAAGATTTTCTAACTATTGAGTTCAGTGTTCTCATTTTATACTTACATTATAATTGGGCTGCTCTTCGGCAATATAGTCCCCCAAATCTCCTACTAATATTACTTAAAAGAAAAAAAAAGAAGGCTGTGGATATAGCTCACTGGAAAAATAATTTTCCTTGCAAACATAAGGATCTAATTTGGATCCCTATCACCCATCCACGTGATGAGTAAATCATCCATGTATAATTCTATGTGTGATTTCAACTCAGGAAAGGTAGAAAAAGTGGAACATGGGAAACTGCAGAGTAAGATGGCAAGGTTGTATCAGTGAATATGGTTGGTAAAGAGTCAAATTTTTAATTATTATTAGATGATCTACTTGGTGCACTCAAAACTTCTTGGGATAGTCTTGTCTAAATCAGGGACATGTATTTTTCTGTATTATGGGCATCATTTGTTCACAGCTTACTTGCCTTTACATCTATATGCATGTGAACAGTGCATAAGAAAACAAGAAAAATAACTGACAAGCCCATCAACCCAAGTTTTTCTCAGAAGCTCATGTCATAAGACTCTATTCCTTTTCAAACTTCTAATTTTCAAATCTACATCTCATAGTAAACTGATGCTTCAGCTCTCTGGTAGGATGTTCAGATGAGATCTGACCCATTTGTAGCTTTGCAGTTCTCTCTCAGAATAAATTCAATTAACTTACTGTGGTGGTATTTGACAAGCTTTCCTTTAGAATGGGTTGGGAAGTGCCATTTGAAAAGATTCAGAATGACCTTGCTGGAACTATACATGGATCTGGGAGTTCTGGATTAGTTTGAAATCCATTCTAGACTGTCCATTTCCTCTCTGTACTTATAGTGGCTTGTGTCTCTTAAGAAATGGTTTAGATACTGAGATAAACTATCTGTCCTCATTTGGTCACATGCACTTCTTATTAGACACTCTGGAATCACTTCTTATTAGACATTCTGGAATCACTTCAAAAGAGCACACAGCTCCTGTACTACCCACTAGTATCCTTAGTTACAGTCACTCTGTAGTATCCTTTTCCAGACTTTGATTTGTATACTACACAGAGAATGTACCTAGCTAACAGAGATCACATGCTAGAGGGTCCCTCTGCTCACAAACTCAATCAGTGCCTTCAATGTCAATGAGTCATTCAAAAGGTGGAATATTATTTTGGAAAGAAAATAAGAAACAAGATAACAATACTGAGAATATGGATATTTTGGAGGGGATTTTTGTTGTTGCTGTTTTCTGGGTTTTTTAAATTTTTTGGTGGGTTTTTTATGTTGTTGTTTGTTTTTGACAACTTATCTAGCATTTTTCTGCTTCAGATTGACAGAGGAACCAAGAGAGATGAATTGGCAAGAAACACATTAAGAGCTACTATTTTTCCATATGCATTTTGTGAGCAACTTGCTTGCATGGAATATAATCCTATTTTTTTTATTTTACCAAATGGAAACATCACACATGGGTAGTGAAAAAGCATAGAGCAAGGAGAAACCAGGAATAATATTTAAAATATAAAGTTACTCAATAAATATTTTTTAGGAACTCATTTAAAAGAAGTTGTCTATTTTTCCAAATTTCAGTAGTAAGAGGAAAAATAATAATTTAAAAGCATATGTGTCAGACATAAGCAGCTCAGTAGATTATAATAATTCACTGGGGTAAAATTGTCAGATAAACAACCCACTTAAAGAGTTACCAGAATCTGTAGCAATCAGAGAAATGTGAACTAAATCTATGTTGAGATTGCATCTTTACCCTGTCAAAAGGGTTCACGATCAAGGAAACAAATGACAACCAACCCTGACAAGCATGCATAGAGAGAGGTATTCTCAATCATTGTTGGTCATTTTATAGAGTTCTGCAGTCATTCTGGAGATAAACATGTAAGGTTTCAAAAAGTTAAAAGTAGATCTAGCATATAAGTCAGCTATACTGGATTCAACACCCCACACCACAGGCACCTGTGTAGCCATGTCCATTGCTGCTGCCCTCACAACCCCTAGAGCAATCCAGATGTCCTTGAACTGATGAGTGCATAATAAAAAATGTACTAGGTATACACAATAGAATTCTATTCAGCCGTAAATAAAAATAGGATTATGAAATTTGCAGGGAAATTGTAGTAGAACACATTTTACTGACTGAGATAAAGCAGAACCAGGCAGACAAACTGTGCTCTTATTTGAGGCTTCTCTCTCTGAGTCTTCAGATGTGAGTACATAACCTGAAGTAACTGCAGAATACAAGACAGGGAAAAGTACCATGGTGGCAGTATCTGGAGGGTAGGGATTTCAGGACAAACATGATCTGAAAGGGGAAGTGGGAAATGTGACATGGGAGAGACAGGCTAAAGTGGAGAGTGAGAGATGGTAGGGACGACACTAACGGTGTCTAAAAAACATAGGTAAATATTAAATACATACACGTTTTACTCGGCTATCACCCAGAATATTAAGTCGTTATTGACAGCACACTGTTGAGGTGTTATTGATATAACTCACATGATATAAAGCATGGACGAATTGAGCTGTAACTGACCTGGAATTCTGCTTCCACAGGACAATATCTCACAATGCCTGAAGATGCTATGTAAGTTACCAAGGGAGGAAAGCAATCCATAGTCCTACATATCCGGTTATAAAACCTGTGAACCATAACTGGCTAGTCCAACACGATATCTCCAGTGGTTTAATCTTGGTGTTATATCTTTGGGGTAACTTTAAATGGATTTAAAGGCCATTCTATGTAACAGAATCAATGTCGAGAAATGTAAAAATAGCCAACTACCTGCAGCTAGGGCTGTCATTCACTCTAGAGGAGAACCTACTGTTGCCATTTTCCTAAAAAGATATAGTTTCTAATCATATAAATATAATATATTCTAAATATTTATCATTACACTCATAAACAAGTGTCTCTTTTACCTGTAATAACAAACAAGCTTCTTTTTACAATAGATGAAAACTATTCCAGAAATCTATAAGTCAAAATGTAGAGAACAGTTGACTAAGGACCATTTCCTAACTTTTCATTCAGAATAAATAGTATCAACAATAAAATCATAAAGAAGATTTTCTCATTTTCCTCTTCTGATGCTGTGATAATGGCAACTGAAGAAGGAACAGGTTCATCTCAGCTCAATGATATAGTTCACCATTGCTGGGTAAGGCACAGCAGCAATGAGGCAGTTAGTCACAGTAAGGAAGGAAAAAGCAAATCATAACTGTAGTGTTCAGCTTACAACTTCACTTTATACAGCTCAAGGTCTCCCACTGATAGAACGGCCCTACCAACAGTTAAAATGGGTCTTCCGGTATCACTTAAAATAATTATGACATTTCTTTATAGACATTCCAAGAGGTTGATCTTAATCTAGAAAACCTATCATGATGTTCCTGGAAGTTAGTGGTAAATAATAATGGTCACATATGATTGCACGAAGATAGCATTTTATATTTAACTTTTAGATTTTTATCTTAGCATTTACTATATCTCCTATAGATGTTGTAAACATCTATTTGGAGTTTGAACTGAATAAATCTACTAATTAGCAATATTTTAAAATCAATTATGTGTATAACTTTGTTAACAGAACGTAAACCTTTTCTTCCTTTTAGAAAACTACATAAATCCTACAAATTTAATGTAGTAATTATATAAACCTATAAACATTAGGTGCTAAAGAAGTGTGGATTTGATAAAAATGACAATGATTCATTATGATATCCTATATATGTTCTTGATATTTTGATGATCTATTTTTATTATTAAAAATATATAATCTCTTCCAAAGAAATGATGATAAAATGTTGAGTTGCATATCAAAATTTATATTAGTGAATTCATGTGAGCAACTATTAGTCACAATGACAAGAAGGAAAATTGGTAAAGACTTTCAAGTTGAAGACTGAAGTTCATCACCACTACATATAGATTGTAAAATTTCTGAATGAATGATTAAATACAAATAAAAAAAAACCTGATTTTAACTAAAATTTTA